AAATATTCCAGGGTGTCTGGGGGTCTCAACCCAAAAAAATATCTAAATTTGAAAACTAATTTCCTGCCTAAAATATAAAAAAAATTAACTAACACATGGGATGGACTTTTCATTTATTTTTTACAATAATGTCTAATATTGTATTGTATTACCTTGCTCTGTTTTTACTTTTTTTTACCATTTCTTGTTTCATTGTATGCAGTGGCAGAGATTAGGGATTAATAAAGTACAACCATAACCACAATCATATGAACAGAAATCTACGCGTTGATTTATATGAAGACAAGTCCAGATATTGTGGCCAAGGTTTAGCAAATTGTTTTTTTTATTTACACAGCATAGCAAAAAATAGTTTCATAGCAATATATTGAGGGGACATTTTGAGCATATTTTTATATTTTAATATTTAATATTGGGGGGGATGTGTCCCCTCCACTATATTACGGCCTTGCCTTGAGTACCGACAACAGCTGACGAACGAAGTCACCAAGGAGTGCCCTTGCCAACAACAACAACAACCGGCAGCATTTGTGAATAGCGAGCCCTTACTCTGCAGACGGTCAAAACCATTCCAGAAGTTGCCCGCTTAAACAAACACAACTTGATAGCGTTAGTCCGCAGAATCAATAGGCCGTTGGGCGAACCCACGTGTTTATTTAGTTCAGCTTACATTTTGCCTTTGCCCGTAATGTCCTGCAGCAACATGAAATGCGTTCGTAGCGTGCAATCAATCAAGTTGACTCGTTGAGTCGCAGCGCTCCGTCCACCTGGCCAGATTTGTTTCGAGAGGACAATGTTCGCTCGACTTGCCGATGCCCAGTGTAACAACAGCAACAATGATGATGGTGATGATGATCACAGCGCTGTGGTGAACAGTGTCCCGAATCTCAACACTCATTGTCACGTTGTGCCACAAAGTTCGTGTTCGTGAGAGGTTTTATTTGGGGGGGGGGTTGGCTTCGTGTGGCAGCAATCGGGACACCTCCCACTCACGCAAGGCGGAGGGGTGATGCTCAGGTGGCAACTCGGCACTGCCACCTTGTGGCCGCACCTGCCAGCCCCCCGCCTACAGCACCTGGCAAGCCCCTGGTGCAGCTCGCCTACGGTCGCGTTGCCACCCGTCCAGGTTTCATCCGGACTGGCGGAATTTTATAATTTGGCTGGCGCGGACTCTGCAGCCCTCGCACTTCCTGGCGTGCAGGGGGGGGCAGCGGAGGGGGGGGGGTCATCCAGGTGAGGGGCGGGGGAGGGGGTGAAGGGGGCAGCGAAGGGGGGGTCATCCAGCCTGGATGACCCCCCCTCCGCTGCCCCCTCACCTCACCTGGATCATCCAGGTGAGGTGAGGGGCGAGATGTCAATTACCTCGCCTGGTACGCAGGAGGTTGTGGGTTCAATGCCGACCCTGAACGCCTGCTATATATATGTGTGTGTGTAGTTTGCACGTGATCCCCGTGGTCGCGTCGATGTGTCTCCGGGTCCTCCGGTTTTTGCCTCCACATTGAGAATCAACATCACGCGTCTTAAAGTGTTCGGCTGCTACAAATTCCCACGTGATGAGCCACTTCGTTGAGATAGCGTTCGTGATGGCCGGATCGCTTCTGATAAAAGAGCTGCATAGCTCAGTGGGGCCTTACCTGGTAAGATAAAAATAGTTTAGTTTGTTTTAGTTAATCTTCCGTGCTGTCAGCATCCATCGCAACTCGCTGCGTTGTCAGTAAGCCCTTAAGATCACTCTCTGGCAGCGGAGTGTGACAGTCCAGAATGTCGCGCGCGCTGTCTCAGGCGTGGTGCCGCATGGCTCCCTCCCTCTCTCTCTCTCCGCTGCGTTGTGGTAGGGTCCTCGCTCAGTGTTTTTCGGCACAGTGTCCAACGTTTCGCTCCACGTGCTGGGAGCTTCCTCTGCACCCCTTCCACTTGAATCAACTCCGCGTGCACACGAAGCAACCCACCTCCTTCACCTCCCATGCGGTCCTCTCTCAAAGCCTCACCACCTCTTCTCTATCGCCCATTCCCTTCCTCTTCCCTCACCCCCACTCTGTCCCGTCCCTCCCCTGCTGCCCTTTCCGTGACCCCCCCCCCCCCCCACGTGTGCCCTCTGTTAAAGGTCACTCGTTTCTCGGCCCTTGCACTGCCCCTGCCACCCAAATCACGGTAGGGTAAGAGGCGAAAACTCCTCCGCCACGTGGTCAAGCCCGAAGGCACGTGAGAGATTACATGGGTTGCATCTCCTTCACTGCAGCAAGGGCCCTTGTCCATCTCACTGCGAGATCTCAACTCGCCACGAGCGCCCTTGGTTTGCAATGGGCGAAGCTGCTCCTGCCTGGGTTTGCGGCGGTCGTTCCGCACGGCTCTCCGTCGCGTTGCTGCTGTTGTTGTTGTTTCCGCGGTGCTTTATTCGGTACGGTGTCCGACGTTTCGGGGCAGAACGTGAGCCGCTCAATTCAGTTCTGGCTGAAGAAGCTACCGACGCGTGGAGCTGAAACGTCGGATATCACGCTTTTGCGACGCAACCCTGATCACGCGCGCGGGCGAGAGTGGCAGATGATTGCACGTTCAAGTGCCAACTTGCTGTGTTTTAACCACACGGCACTCCACTCGTTGTTGTGAGCGTCGTTCCTCCGCCCTCCGCTATTGTTGGAGGGCGACTGCCTCCAACTGCCCAGTAGTATCCTTCACGAGCCTCCACCACAGAGGCCGATCTTGACACCGCTAGTACCAGTCATCGGCAAGTCCACTCAGCTCCACGTCCTCCTGTACCGCATCACTCCATCTCGTCTCTAGCCCGTGTCGCGCCTGTTTAGCCCCCTCGATCCGGCCGAACAAAAGCTGTTTAGGCATGCGGTGACTGGGCATGCGGGCTACATGGCCCAGTCAACGCAGCCTTGCCTGCCGAAGGAGCTCACCGATGGGACTGTGTCCAGATCTTTCAAGGATTTGTGAGCTCCTCACACAATCCAGCCTGGTTAAACCCAGGATGGATCGTAGACAGGCCAGCCTAATTGTTTCTGGCGAAGATGTTCCATTAGGGGGTTCCACGTTTCGCAAGCATAGAGAAGGGAGGGAATGACTGTAGCCGAGAAGACCTGAAGCTTTGTGCGGAGTGACAGACCAGGTAGATTCGACGGTGACCACCACCATCACCACCATCGCCACCATCACCACCATCGCCACCATCGCTACCATGGCCATCACAGTTCAAGCTTGATGAACAATGAGGCCTATCTGAACAGAATTCATCATCGGCCATGGTCAATCCACTGCTGGATGAAGACCTCCCTAATCAGCTGCCATCACTCACGGTACAAAAATGTAACAATCCAGCCAGGCACCCATATGTATGTATGTATTCTTAGGTGTTTTCGGTAAAGTCACGTAGGTAAAACATTAAAATTAATAAAAATAATAAAATAAAATAAAGATTACGACGTTTCGGAGGCAACACAAGTCTCCGTCATCAGGTGGGACAGTCACAGCCAGATTAGCTGCATCAAGTGAGGCAATGATTCAAGATGTAATCCCTTAAAAGCGAGTTGAGGGGGGAGGAGAGGGGGGGGCTCATCAGAATGTGGTAGCCAATGAATGGAAAGTATCGGGAGAGAGGGGCCAAAAAAGGCTGGGCGACGGCGTGGAAGCTATTGTGCGCAAGCGACACACTGCTGCCCACGCCAACGCATTGGACAGAAAAGACAATTTCATGAGAGCCCGCTACAACTCAGTGGGCTCTCATGAAATTGTCTTTTCCGAGACCAAGGTTCTCTGCAAACCTCCTGGCTACCATCAAAGGTTTGTACACGAAGCCATACAAATATACAAACACAGACATAATTTCAACCGTGATGATGGGTACAAACTGAGTAATCATTGGAAAGATGTTATTAACCACGCAAAAAAGACTTAATTACACTTTTTTGACCATCTTATCTGACAGGCACTAGTTTACTTTACCGAGTGTTTAACAGTAATCTCTTCATTGTTCAGCCAGCATTGGTATAAACATGCGCATTTTCTTTTCTTTTCTATCATGTGTATCAGACCTCCCCCTCCCCCCTCTCTGTCCAATGTGTTGGCGTGGGCAGCAGTGTGTCGCTTGCGCACAATAGCTTCCACGCCGTCGCCCACCCTTTTTTGGCCCCTCTCTCCCGATACTTTCCATTCATTGGCTACCACATTCTGATGAGCCCCCCCCCTGTCCTCCCCCCTCAACTCGCTTTTAAGGGATTACATCTTGAATCATTGCCTCACTTGATGCAGCTAATCTGGCTGTGACTGTCCCACCTGATGACGGAGACTTGTGTTGCCTCCGAAACGTCGTGATCTTTATTTTATTTTATTATTTTTATTAATTTTGATGTTTTACCTACGTGACTTTACCGAAAACACCTAAGAATATGATTCCTTGCAGTTACGAAAGCTTCAAGTCTAGAATGTATGTATGTATGTTGAAATTCTTTCACACGTACGTATCCAACCGTGCTAATCCACACTAGCTGGTTTCATTGCTCCATCTCCTCTGCGGACATTCCTCTCGGACGCGTTCCACCTCTTGGAATTTCGACCATCGCAACATCGTGAGAGGTGGTGAATGCTTGGCGTGACTTTCCCCCAGCAGTGAATTAACCAAGGCTGGTGATGATTGTGATGACGATGATCAATGATCTATTTAACACGTCGGCTTTAACGACCGAAGTTATTCATAATAGAGGTTTTTTGAGTGGTAAATGTAAATGTTGTGGGTTTTCTCCAACACACCGGTGTGCTGTACGAGTAACTAATTGGCACGTTTTGTTGACGCGACAAACCTTACTAATTGGCTGTATCGGTTGGTGGCGGGTTTCGCGACACATATATATTTTCGCGATCTAACCCCCCAAAAAAACCCCTCCATTATGGATAAATATCTCTCGTCGCCGGTTTGAACCCAGATCTCCGCTGCAGAGGACTACAGTACTTGAAGTAGCGTCTCACACCGGCGGAGTAAAGTCATCGAGTCAATTCTCACGTGAGTAAAATGGCCTTTATTTATTTATTTTTGAAAGCGCTCGCGAGCTTAGCACGTAAGGCTGCCGAGGCAGGCGGAATAACACGCGCGTCCGCACCAAACGCGTTTCTGCAAAGCGTACAAAAGACATGCCACACAGTCGCCGCCGCCGGGGTCAAGGGGTGTGTGTAAAAGCAAACTTGGAATGCGTTCCGTTTTTCTCCCCGGCAGCAGGCGTTGTAAAAACAATGATGGGAGCAACAATAACCCGCGTGATGCAAAAGCGATGTGGATCGTGCGTCGAGCTGATCACCAGTTGGCACGCGTGTGCGCTGCAGCCCGAAACCTCCAGGCCTCTCGTATTTATTTCACCGCAAAGTAAATTGACAACAGAAAACTCAACACGTTCGTCAATAACACTGCGTGGCCTTAAAGGAAAAGTACGTGTAAGACGTGACGGTTCGGGCAATGGACCTTCTTCATAGTAAATGTGCTACGGTTTAAAATTGTCAATTATGCGTTTGCACCACTGCCAAAGCAGCAGCAGCACCAAACGTCAGCGTTTATAGTCAACAAGGCGGAGCGTCTCTCTCCAGACGGTTGATTTGTGATGCTGCATCGGCAGAGGCGGGTAAACAATCACACTCGGCACGATCGACGATGACAGTGGGAAAATATTCGTGGCACAGAGGTCTGTGCTATGAATGCGCCACGGGTGAAGGGCCATTGACCGAAACGTTCAATATCTTTTGTTCTCTCGAGGGCCACAGTGTTATCGATGCACGCGGCGGGCTCCGCTCTTGTCGCGAGCTACATCTCGAACGACCGTGACGAGCGGGTTTGTCAGACGAAAGCGGTCGGGGTAGAAGCGGAGTGCCTGAACAACCTGCGGGTCGCTCCGCCGCCGCTGCTGCTGCAGCAGCTGGTGAATCTGCAGCGGCCGTCTCCTCGCCTCGGATCCCCGCCCCCTACTTGAACGACGCCTTGATCTTCTCGAAGGGGTCCGAGTCCCACTTGGTGGGGTCCCAGGCGAGGAACCAGCCGGTGAAGGTGGGGGGCTCGTGCCCCTGCTTCACCACCACCACGGGGGTGCCCTTCCCCCGGCCCGACGGGTCCGTCTGCAGGTACGACGTGGCTGCGAGACGACACGCGGCGTAGGGGGGGGGGGGACACGGCGAGTCTGTGGGTGTCTATGTGAACACGTGGGTCTCTACGCGAGGCTCTGTTTGTCAATGGGTGTCGATCTGAGTCTATGGGCCTCGATGTAATTCTGTGGGTTTCTGTGTCAGTCCACAGATCTCTATGTCTCATCAACATCATCATCAGCTACGAACAATGCACTGCTGGATGAAGGCTTCCCCAAGCCATCTCTGTGGTATCGCAAAGCAATGATGCATGGAGCTCCTGCAGATGAGCTCATTCCATCGCCGCCATCTCAGAATCAGAATATTTATTTATACCGGTGGATCTCTATGGGAAATCTTTTACACCGCACAACCGAGCCGCGCTGAGGCTGTGCGGAGCCAGCCCCGGCCCAGCTCAGGAGGATGGCGCCAGGTTGTTTTTATTCCACTGTGGAAGCCGAGCCGTGCCGTCGGCGGGTCGCTCACGGTGAGCGGGTCGCTCACGGTGAGCGAGCCGAGACGCGCGAGGGTGGCGTGGCGGCACCGTGTCCTCGCAGTGTCCTGACTGAGGTCACACGGCATTAACCCCGCCCCTGGCCCTGCTTGGCCCCCGAGCCTGATTCCGACGTCTTCCGAGGCCAGCCCAACAGCACGGTTTGGTTCCAGCTTGTGAAAAAACCACAATGCGAGCCCTGTGGGTCTCCGTGTCAAACTACGGGTTTACTTGAATCTGTGAGACTCGGAGTGAGCCGATGAGTCCCACGTGAGTCTATGGGCAGACACCTCATCGTCGCCGCGTGGCGCTCTCCGCCGCACGCCTCATCGGGAGACCTCACCGGGCCTGGCACGCGAACCGGGACGGGCGTCTGCCCGACGGTGCCGTCGCTGTGACTCACCACACTTGAGCGACTCCTGCTTCTCCACATCGTTGGCATCCTTGCCGATCCACACGAACAGCTGTGGGCGCAGCAGGGGAGGAGTTCCCCCGACACCGGTTACACGTGGGTCAGGGAGCGTCTGCGTGATCCGCCAACCCTCACCACCAAAGCGACGGGTTCGTGCCACCGCCACCGCCGCCACCACGAAGGTCTCCGCTCAAACCTCTCCGCCAGTCTCGCCCCACTAACCACAGCGAACCGCTCCCCCCGCGTCGCACGGAGCAACGATCTGCTGATCACACCCAGAGAACCGGGACCCACCTGGCTGGGCACCGACCGTCTGGAACTCTCTCCCATTCTACTCTACCGCACATTCACAGCATCCAAGCACCATCACACCTGGTTCAGGAGGGACTTTGAGCTCTGGCTCCGCACCTTCCATGTTCTCGATCGAACATTGCATCTGATTCCAGCAATACGTGCTTGTTACAAGCAGTGTTTATAGTGACCACCTCCCACAATCTGCCTCCTGAAGGTGAGCAACCCAGGACAAGCATCGGCCAGCATTGATGCGGCCGATGATGCTGGTGACATCATCAAAAGCCCTGCCCAATCACCTCCCGTCCAGCGGCACACTCTAATATGCACGATAAATAATCTTAATAATGTCACCAGGAACCTACTTGCTGTACTGGCCAGGCGGCTGAGCAGTAGAGTGAGCGAATCAGATGGCTGCGAGTTGAAATCCTGCTTTGTCAGTTGACTAGGCCCATCTTCCCTCCGGGGTCGATAAAATTACTACCACTTTGTGGGGAAGTCAACAGTATATTATGGAGATACCCCCCCTTGTCTCTTCCCACCCCCGCCATAGGAATGTGGAATTTCCACCACCGTCTCTGTGAGGTGTAGGAGATGGCTTTGGCGCACTGGCGTTCGTTTTAGACTACTTGCTGTGCTGCACGCCGGGATCAGGGGGACGGCACCTGCTCCCAGACGTCGAGCAGCATCACGTCGTCGGTGGCGAGGTCGTCCTGGGTGAAGTCGCCCGACACCTCCTCCACCTGCGAGCGACGAGGTGGAACAGTTGCCGACTGAGCGAGCCATCTCGCGGCGCGGCAGTCGAAACAATAGACGAGTTTCTTAATCCTCTCCCTCCCCCCCCAACCATGTCCCCTGCGCTGTTCATGTCACTGTTCGTGTGACTATTCATGTCACTGTTTGTGTCTCTGTTCGTCTCTCTGTTCGTGTCACTGTTCATGTCTCTGTGTTGCTGTTTGTGTTGCTGTTTGTGTCTCTGTTCGTGTCACTGCTGGTGTCACTGTTCGTGTTGCTGTTCATGTCTCTGTGTTGCTGTTTGTGTTGCTGTTTGTGTCTCTGTTCGTGTCACTGCTGGTGTCTCTGTTCGTGTTGCTGTTCATGAACGCCCATGGGCGGGGAGCCGTGGCGGGGAGCGTGCCTGGAAGCGGCCGGTCTTGTTGGAGCAGGCGAAGAGGCGGGGTGGGTGGTCGTTGTAGTTGGTGCTGAGTCTCGGCGAGCTCTGGTAGTCCTTCTTGCCGCCCAGCAGCGACCAGAACTCAGCTGCGGGGGGCGGGGGGGGGGGGGGAATGTGAGCGTGGGGGGGGGGGGGGGCGTCGGAGGGAGATTAGAGTTGGGCAGGGGGGGGGGGGAAATTAAGCATTTGCCCAGGTGCCCACAACTCCAACTCCAGAGGGGCTGGCGGAAAAAAGAAACCTCCAGAGGGACAGTCCCGGTGTGAGTCGATGGCCAGGCCGTCACGTGTGGTGGGAAAAAGTTTGGGTGGCTCCCACCTCTACCATCTGGCCACCGTGGAAGAGTAGACAGTGCCGGTGGATTCAGAAAGGCTGCCCCGGGTGTGAGCCCCAAGCCTTTTGCAAACAACTTTGTCCCGGGTTTTAAGTTTCCCCTGGCCTCACGCTCGCCTCATGATGTGGGCCAAGGGCGGAGCTACCTGAGCAGTGGGCGGGGCTAGGGACCATGTGGGCGGTGCTCGTGGTTGAAAGGGCTACTTAAGAAGGGCCATTGGCCAAAATGTCTCCCATCAGGTATTTTTTCCTTTTTGTGCTTGTGCACCGCTGCCAACGCAGCAGGCGGCAGCTTCGCCACACAACGTTTCATTTCACGTTTAAATTGGGCGGCGCCAGTGGCCTCGTGGGCGTGGCCAAGTAAAGAGTGGGCGGCGCCAGTGGCCTCGTGGGCGTGGCCAAGTAAAGAGTGGGCGGTGCCAGTGGCCCCGTGGGCGTGGCCACGTAAAGAGTGGGCGGCGCCAGTGGCCCTGTGGGCGTGGCCACGTAAAGAGTGGGCGGCGCCAGTGGCCTCGTGGGCGTGGCCAAGTAAAGAGTGGGCGGCGCCAGTGGCCTCGTGGGCGTGGCCAAGTAAAGAGTGGGCGGTGCCAGTGGCCCCGTGGGCGTGGCCACGTAAAGAGTGGGCGGCGCCAGTGGCCCTGTGGGCGTGGCCACGTAAAGAGTGGGCGGCGCCAGTGGCCCTGTGGGCGTGGCCATGTAAAGAGTGGGCGGTGCCAGTGGCCTCGTGGGCGTGGCCACGTAAAGAGTGGGCGGTGCCAGTGGCCCTGTGGGCGTGGCCACGTAAAGAGTGGGCGGCGCCAGTGGCCCTGTGGGCGTGGCCACGTAAAGAGTGGGCGGCGCCAGTGGCCCTGTGGGCGTGGCCATGTAAAGAGTGGGCGGTGCCAGTGGCCTCGTGGGCGTGGCCACGCATCTCCTTGCTGAGCCTCCCAGACAACGCGGCAACGCCACGGTGCTCAGCGGGGGGCGCAACCACCGCTCACGCGACTCTCCAGGGCGTGATGGCGCTGCACCCCCCCCCCGCCCCCCAACTCACCGGGCTCCTTCCCCTCAGCCACATCTTTGACCCCGCCGCCCCCCAGCAGCTTGGCGACGTAGGCGGCGGCCTCCTGCTCGGCCTTCTCGGCTCCCTTGCCCTTCCACACGGTGGCGCCGCCGCCCGCCAGCAGCACGAACGCGTCGCTCGAGTTCAGGGAGGCGGCGCTCAGCGCCACCTGCGGGGAGGCGTGCGGGGAAGGTGGCGGGGAGGGGGGGGTTGTGGGTAGGAGGTACGAGGAGGTGGGAGGCATGGGGAGGGTAGACATTGGGAGGTGGCACAGCGGTGATGAGATGTTAACGACCTCGCCTGGTATACAGGAGGTCGTGGGTTCAATCCCGACCCTGACGCCTGCTGCTGTGTATTTGGAGTTTGCGTGTCTCTCTCCTCGTGGTTGCGTGGAGTTTTCTCTGGGTCCTCTGCTTCTTCCCTCCACGTTTAGAGTATTTGCCTGCTATGAATTTGCACGTGATAAGCTACTTCGTTGATCTATCATCTGTGACCAGGTCGCTACTGAAAAATAGTTTATAGTTTATAGGTGAGCAAACACGTGGAGGAGGGAGAGGGGAGAAGGCAGGGAGAGGCAAGGAGGTGGGAGATGATTGAGTAGATCTGAATGTTGTCTTGATGGAGTGCGGGATGGCGAGTGGTGAGGCAGGCGTCCAGCAGTGGATAGGCCATGGCTGCTGCTGCTGATGGTGATGAGAGAGCATGACGGAGAGCGGACGTGAATGTTGTCAAGGAATACAATGACGACGACGACCTCACCTCGACGGCTCTGGTGGCGCCCGCTGAGGAGCTGCGCACCTGGTAGAGTCGCGTGGGGGCCTGGGGGCTCTGCCCCCCCTTGCGGGAGGTGCCCCCCGCGTGCACCACCAGGGGCTTGCCCCCGAACAGGCTCAGCAGGTGGGGGGGCTCGTAGCCCTGCTCCACGCGCACCTGAGGGGGGGGGGGGCGTGCGAGAAATACAATCAGGAGGAGGAGGAGACGGGGAGGGGAGGGGGGCGAGGGTGATGAAGAGGAGGAGGGGTGGGGGCGATGGGGATGAAAAGGAGGAGGGGTGGGGGGGCGAGGGTGATGAAGAGGAGAAGGGGGTGGGGTGCGAGCGGGATGTGGCACCTGCACGGGAGAGCCCCCGTGGGAGTCGTCCAGCTGCACGGTGAGCATGGCGGAGCGTGCTCGCTCGTCCGGGGTCGCCTTCACTCCCTGCCTGCTCGCCGCCATCACGACAAAACGACAACGGCGTCGTCAGCCACGCTCTATCCACCGCTGATGGTTGCTGGTGTTGCAATCGAAACGTCCTATTCTATTATTATTTTATTTTCTACGTGACTTTACTGAAAGACCCAAAGAGTAAATCCTGCAGTCACGAAAGCTTGGAATCTAGTTTTATTTGATTTGTTTAATTAATACAAAAAAATGTCAGACTTTTGGTGCAAGTTCCCCCCGTCTGATTGACGGCGTGTCACATGGCGCGCTGCTGCGGCGAGCTTCGGGCTAAACTTAACTCAGGACGGAAGGACTGTGGGCGGCCGATGACACGGATAAATATATAAACGAGCCCACGTAGTGTCGGTGGCAGAATGACAACCTCGCCCAGCGGAACTTCCCGCACCGCGCTCGCCACGTGCCGTTCAAATGAGGAACCCCACGTGCTGTGGTGGGAAAAGCTGTCGGGAAATGTTTGCGACTGTTGCCGCGATTCCGGGTCAGATCCACCGGCGTGCCACTGCCAACAGCGATAATGAAGCGACGTTCACCCGTCGGCTGAGCTCGTGTGCGTGTGTCTGCACACACGTGCGCGTGTCTGTACACGCACACGTGTGTCTGTACACACGTGTGTCTGTACACACGCGCACGTGTGTCATCAGCTGGGGCAATTCTACAATTCCTGACGTGCGTTTCAGGCACTGCGAACATGAAACATAGTGAGTACGTATGTGGGTGCGTGTGTGAGTGAGAGTGTGGATGTGTGGGCGCGTGTGTGGATGCGTGCGTGAGTGCGTGCATGAGCAGGTGCATGGGTGCGTGCGTGGGTGAGTGTGTGCGTACATGGGTGGGTGCGTGCGTGGGTGCATGCGTGAGAATTAGTGCCGTAGCGTGGTTGGCCCGGGCCGTGGAGTGTGGAATGAAACGGAGAGCGGTCCCCACCAGGTGTAGATGATCTGTCCCGTCTTGTAGGTGTACAGGATGATGTAGCAGTCTCCCCCGTAGAACTGTCCGTAGGTGGCGCGATCCACGGACACCTTGTCCAGGCCCTCGATGCGCCACACCTGGTCGGTCCGGACAGCGAGTTGGGCAGTTGAGTGGCTCTGTGCTGAGCGAGCACGTGCGTGTGTGTGTGTACGTGTGTGTGTGAGTCAGTACGTGTGTGTGTGTGTGTCAACCCACGGCACCTGGGTCACGCGGCCTCAAAGTGCACTGAGCATGGCACAGGCGCAGTGGTGACGTCACCGCCACTTAGTGGTGAATGGCGGTTCTTCTTGTTGTCGTGCATGTGTGAGTGAGTTGGTGAGCGAGTGCCTAGGTGGCCACGATCGTGCGAGCGAGCCACCAATTGCCCCTCTCAAACCCCATTACCATGCCCACTCTCCAGCACGCCTCGCTGTCCTTCACCTCCGCTTAGAGCGGTAGGCTACGTACGGTGCGAAAGAAGCTCAAGGTACGTACGCCCCTCCCCGCCCTCCTCCCCCCACCCCCTGCTCACCTGAACCTCTCCCTTGCCGTCGTCCACCATGCCGTGCTGCGCGGCCATGGCCGGGCTGGAGTGCAGGGTGGAGGCGTTGAAGGGCACCTGCTGGACGCGGGCGATGCTGCCCACGTTGTACGTCTTGCCGGGCGTCAGCACGTCGCCCTTGCTCCTCCAGCCCAGGAAGAACTGCTTGAAGAGCGGCGTCTCCCCTGTCTCGGGCAGCACCGACACCTGGGAGCAGTGACGTGCAGTGAGGTCAATGGCTGGGGAGGCACTGGCTCGTGTCAGAGCCAGATTCACACACTGAGGGGGGCGTGGCCTCACTGAGGGGGCGTGTCCTCACTGAGCGGGGCGTGTCCTCACGGAGGGGGCGTGGCCTCACGGAGGGGGCGTGGCCTCACTGAGGGGGGCGTGTTAGACACGTCCCCCTCAGTGAGGCAGATGTGACAGCTGCCTCCCCTGGTGCTTTTTCATTGCAGTTTCATGACGAGACCAGCGAGCCTAAATATCTTTATACACATACGTGAAATAAGTTACCTGGAGTATGGAAGGCGAGGACATGAAACGAAGGGGTCTACAAACATTACATTGGTGACATACTGAGATAGTAACAGGCACGCGCTTATTGCCCGTGCTCCATCCAGTGACTGAGGAGTTGCGCAATCAGAGGGGAGGCTGAGCTCGTCGCTGCCTCACCTCTCGTCTCTTCCTGTATTTGCAACGGAGCTCTGCAAATTTGGCGATTTTGACTATAAAAATGATTGGAATCGTACAGAAATTACATTTATAACACAGAACAGTGGAAAAATCTTAATACTTATTTTTATTTGATGATTCTTTTTTTTCCTTTCCGTAACAGCTATTTTCATTGGAGTATGACAGGTGAGGCTCTGCCTCCCCTGCCTCCCCTGACCGCACGTCCCTGCGGGAGGAGCAGCAACGTATAGGGAGTGGAGGGGGGGCTCTTCTCTACTCGCTACGCACGGCTGGGCAGGGAGGGGCGGTCGCGAGGCTCACGAGGTCAGAACGGCTCCGGGCGGGAGACGTCGCTCCCTCCTCAACGCCATCCGGCCACCCGGTGGCCCCGCGACGGAGAGCCGCGGTTCCCATTGGGCAGGCCGCGAGGAGTGGTTGGTGGGGAGTGGTTGGTGCGGAGTGGTTGGTGGGGAGTGGTTGGTGCGGAGTGGTTGGTGGGGAGTGGTTGGTGAGGAGTGGCTGGTGGGGAGTGGCTGGTGAGGAGTGGTTGGTGAGGAGTGGCTGGTAGGGAGTGGTTGGTGAGGAGTGGTTGGTGAGGAGTGGTTGGTGGGGAGTGGTTGGTGAGGAGTGGTTGGTGAGGAGTGGTTGGTGGGGAGTGGATTGGTGAGGAGTTGTAGTTGGGGAGTGGTTGGTGAGGAGTGGTTGGTGAGGAGTGGTTGGTGGGGAGTGGTTGGTGAGGAGTGGTTGGTGGGGAGTGGCTGGTGAGGAGTGGTTGGTGAGGAGTGGCTGGTGGGGAGTGGTTGGTGGGGAGTGGTTGGTGGGGAGTGGCTGGTGAGGAGTGGTTGGTGAGGAGTGGTTGGTGGGGAGTGGCTGGTGAAGAGTGGTTGGTGAGGAGTGGTTGGTGAGGAGTGGTTGGTGGAGAGTGGCTGGCGAGGAGTGGTGGTTTGCGGTGGCGTTGTCACCTGGGTGCTGGGCGGGTACTTCATCTTCTTGAGGAACTCCTCCGCCGTGCTCATGCTCTTCTTGCGCTCGTCGGCGTTCGCTTTCTGGCCTGCAGGCGATCGCCCGGGAGCAAAGGTGAGAGTCGCGATTAATGTTGCCCGCCACACCGCATCCCGCGTCCCTCTCCGCTGTGTCACGTGCCACTCGGCGCGGCGCGGGTTTGCGACGTCACGGGCGGGGACGCCGGCGCGGGCACGAGCGGGAGTGCCGAAGTGTGAGGCAACCACGGGTTTGGCTGCACTGCCCTCTGCTGCCCGGCAACTCTAGCACTGCCCCATAGCAGCCTATAGCACCTGTTGTGCACGTGGCCATCCATCCAAGCGCTGTCGGGGCTAGCAAACCCAGCTTAGCGGCCTTAAAAGGAAAACATGTAATAGACGACGTTTCGGGCAGTGGCCCTCCTTCATGGCGCATGGGAGCACCTGCAACCCACCCCTGCCTTATTCTGTGACCTTCCCGTGACTTCTTGTGTTGGTTTTATTTTCTCCACGACCGCGGCCGTGAATTTGACAGAAAACTATTGTGGCCGCATCCCAGCCGCTAGAGACGATGCCACGTGTGGTGTGCAGCTGAACGACTACCCTCACCCTAACCCTCACCCTAGCCCTCACCCTCACCCTAACCCTCACCCTTCCACACGAAGATCTGCCCTGCGGAGCCGTTGTCGAGCAGGAAGCAGTCTTCCGAGTGGAGCAGCGACTGCTGGAAGGGACTCGCGGACGCCACCTCCTTCACCTCCATGCGGCCACTCTCGTCGGAGATCTGTGACAAGCAACGACATCCGTTATCGTTGCCATAGTCTCGAGTGCCAGCAGCGTCACTGCCATTGTTTTCATCGTCGTCGTTGTCGTCGTCATCGTCGTCATCATCGTCGTCATCATCGTCTTCATAGTTGTCGTCATCGTCGTCGTCATCATTGTCGTCGTCATCATTGTCGTCATCACCTTGTAGAGCTTGGCGGAATTCCGATTGGAGAGATCCGTTTCCACGTCATCGGAGGATCCCGTGGGAAGGGACGGCTTGGAGCCCAGCAACTGAAATGGATTGAGAGGTCAGAGGTCAAGCTCAAGTGTGTTGGTTTCGTGAAGACGGTCTCATTGACAATTACAAAACCACTGCAACAGCGATGCCGGAGAGCGAACATCGTAGCACCTCCAATTAGCACGGTTGGCAGTTCAACACATGTTCGTAGCAGAGACAACCAGCGGTGTTACAGGAGGCATCGGAAAAATATCACGCAATCCTAAATCAAACTAACTTTTGCTGTAAGGAAAATTGGCTTTGACAAATTACTTTGAAGGTCAAGTGATGCCAGATGATTGAGCAATAAAAGCACGTGGACCCCATGAAACACACGTGGCTAGCACTGTAGCTTGCTGTGCAGCGGTCTGCACGTGCAGGGTGACAGTGGTTAGATGATTGGTTGGCGATTTGGTAAAAGGGATGTTTCATTCTCTGGTTCGTTATAAAGAGGGTTAGATTATTGGTTGGTTACAGATTAAGACAGATGTTTAGTTTATCTGGTTGGTTGTAAATATGACGAGATGGTTGGTTGATTGCTGAGATGGTTAGACAGTGAGATAGACTATCAATTGGCGAGTTAAAGGCTGGCAAGACGGTTCGTTGGTTGGTTCATTGGTTACTGACGAAATGGCGAGACGCTTGTTTGCTTGTTTAGGTTGTTCATAATAACGAGTCTGTGGGTTAGATCAGGTAAATGTGTTGGTAAACCTGAGGTTAGTAACGTGAACAAAACGTGCCACAACATTTACAATTGGTTACAATTGTAAATATTGTGGGTTCTCTCTCCAACACACCGGTGTGCTGACATAGGCACGTCTTGTTCCACGTGACAAACCTTACTTACTAAGCGGCTACGTTGGGCGGTGGTGGGAAAACGACGCAAATACTTCGACGCAATCCAACCCCCCAAAAGAAACCTTGCTATGAACGACATGGGCCGCGAAAGCCCACGTGCGTCAAAACTGCTGGACATCGACATCGTCAGATTCGCCGCCCAAATGTAGTCGATCACACAGCGGCCGCGGCGGAGACGACTTCGCGACGACGGCGACGTTGGGTGAAAGGCGCATGGCCGCTCACCTCCACCAGTGGCGCCGGCTCCTCGCCCTCCTCCACCACGTGTACCGTCGCCCGCCCGTTGCGCTCGTTGTCCCGCACGCCGCGCGCCACCTCGGACGCCTTGACGCGCTCGTAGCGGTTGCATCCCGAGCCGCACCACTGGTAGATGTTCTGCAGGGAGCACCCGCGAAACGCAACAGGACCGCGACGCGTGAGTGTGGGGCGCTCTGCAACAGCGACGGACGGGCGTTGAGAGAGAGGCACAGAGAGAGAGAGAGACGGAGACGGCGTAGAGGGAGGCAGGGAAGGAGGCTGAGAGAATATGAAACTCATTTGGCTTTGTTTGACCACTCGGTGACCTGGGGCAGCAAAGAAAACACTCTGCTTGCGTTTGATCCCCTGAGAGAGAGACGCGTGGATTTAGCGAGGGGTGAAGTACCGTCTAGCCTGCGTGCACATACACCGACGTGTCTGCGTGTCTGTATGTGTGTCACTGTGGGCCTGCACATGTGAGTGTAGGGAGCGGTAGCGCAGTGGTTAGCGCTAAGCTGCGCTGAAAACCCCGGCACCCGAATTCGATTCCTGCTCACGAACACCAACACCGGTGACGATTATCTGAACCGGTCTTGGGCCTCCCCTCAGTCGACTCAATCTCAAACGAGTACCTGGTGCGATGTGTAAACATCGCCTCGAGGGAGACAAAGGCGGCCAGGCGGCCGGGCGTGGTGCTGGTCACCTACGCCCTCGTGTGCTGCTCCATCCTCCATAAGTGCTCGTTAACAGCACTTGACTGAAAATGATGTTAAGGCTATATGGGGGATCTTTGTCTTTGTGGGTGCGAAACCACCTGGGCCAGGTGTTGGCCAAGGAACCAATCGACCACAATGGACGGAGATTCTTATACTCGGCGCAGGATAACATCAAACAATAGACTGTGGATCTTTTTCTGAATTCAGGGGGCGTAGGAGCGTGGTGAAGAGCTGTGTGGGAAGCCGCAAGTCCCAGATCATTGTGAGCTCGGCTCTGCATCAAGAGGCAGCGAATGGTGATTGTTGTGGTGGCTGACGCCCCCTCCCAAGATGAAGACACGTATGAGGAGGGCAGGCAAGACTGAGTCAACCAGCTGATCTATCCACCGACCGTCGGGTTGTCATCTGTCAGCTGTGCTTGTCATTCAAACACTGAAGGGGGTATGCATCCACTTAGACTCTATGCAAACCTACAATAGCTTGGCCTCAGAAAGCTATTGAAAGTTGAAAATGATAATTTGATCATTGGTTATCGCTGGGTTGGACATCTCCCCCACAAATTTTCCTTCCTGATGCAGAGTGGAAGTGGTTAAGGTTCACGAATACGTCTCATTCAGCCTCTGCTGTGCTGTGTATTTATTAATAGGTCCTGTGCTAATCTATGTGTGCTAGTGTGGTAGTGCACCGGTTAGCGCTGCGCTACGAACCCGGCGACCCGAGGCCGATTCACGCTCACGGCCACCACCAGGGACGATTATCTGAACCGGTTCTGGGCCTCCCCTAGGTCGACTCAGCCTCAAAATGAGTACCTAGTGCGATTTGTAAACATTGCCAATGGGGAGCCAAAGGCGGCCAGGCGTGGTGCTGGCCACCTACGCCCTCGTGTGCCGTGCCGTGCCGGCCTTCATAGGTGCTCGCTAACAGCAACAGTCTGTTGTTACAGGCTACACGGGGGAACTTTGTCTTTGTGCATGTCCATCCTCACCGCCCCCAGGTCGACGATGAAGCAGTCCCCCTGGTTGAAGCTCTTCCAGGCGAGCGGCACCTCGGTGGCGCGCACCGTGCGTCGCCCCTTCACGTGCAGCAGCCGCTTCACGTCCGCCAGGTTGGGCTCCACGTGCTTGAAGCCCGAGGCCACGCCGCCCGCCTGCACGACAACAACAACGACGACGATGACGACGAAGTGACGAGGTCCTGCAGAGTCTCCTCCTCTGACCTGAGTAGGGAGCTCGCCGCTCCGTTGTTACGCAGCAGCAGCAGCACCGGGCGGTTCACGCGAGTGCGCGCGCACCTTGTACTTGATGCCGCCCTTGAAGTAGGAGAGGAACGAGTTGGACTCGTGTCCCTGCACCTCGCGGTACTGCACGGGCCGCCCCCCCAGGGAGTCGTCCAGCTGCACGGTGAGAACTGCCGCCGCGCCGGACTCGTCCTGAGAGCACTCGCTACCTGCGGTGGGGACACGCGTGGGCCCGAAACGTCGGACGGCATCAGCACATGCCGCGGCACGTCGAGACATCTCGCGCGCCAGACTAGGGGCCCCCTTCCCCACAACCACGACCCTGTCAAACTCGCCCACCTCTCCGTGGGAACCTTTATCGCATCCCCCCCCCCGCCCCCCCCCCCCCCCCCCCCGGGCCAGCTGCACCGCCCCCCCCCCCCGCGCGCCGCTCACCGAGCCAGTAGTGGAGGTTGTAGCTCAGGGTTCCTCCGCCGGCCTTGAGCGAGTTGAGCACCACGTAGGCGTCCCCCGTGAAGAAGTTGCCGTACTGGTTGCGCGCCACGGCCACGGGACTCAGCTTCTCCACCCTCCACACCTGCAGCCCCGCCTCCTGGCCCGCGCCCTTGAACCCCGCGTGCAGCACCATGGCTTCAGGTCGGGGGGTTCTGGGGGTCAACGGGACGGGGGAGGAGGATGGAGAGACGCGCACCGTGGATGTTCACGTTCCAGGTGCATCGCTGTCGACATTTTATTATCAGTGCCCTCCCTTATTACAGACCACTTCACACCGTATTGGTCACCCCGTGCCCGTATCAAACTCAACGTTCATCCTACAAAGTCCCATCGCAAGGGAGAAGCAACAAACAAATAGACATACATATAATCGTTTTGTTTTGCCCGTATCGAGACGGCTGCACGGCGTCTGCACCTGAAAACTCAATTTCCCTGGACAAGAACTCAGGCGTAAACCGCGTGCGTTGACACGGCACGCAGATGCAACGCTTCAATATTCGCCGAGAGATGGAGACCTGCACGGAGCCACCGTCCTCGAGTCGAGCGTGGGAGCCGCTTGCCAGCCGAGCCAGCGGCTCGACGGGAGGGGGTGCCGAGGGACGAGGGAGGGGGTCGCTGACTTCTTGGAGAGACGCGGCGCTCGGGGGTGGAAGCGACGTCCGTCTCCATCGGCCCTCGGACCCGCGGGGGGGGGGGGGGTTGGGCCGCGTGCCGGGCCAACCACGACCCCCTCCTGACCGTCGGTGCCGGCATCGATCCCGAGGTGTGGTCCGAATGCAGCAATACAACGAGCAGCCCGTACGTCCACTGGACGTGTCCGTCAGTCCGTCCCTCCTCCAGCCAGCCAGCAAAGCTAGCTTCTCGTGTTGTACGATACTGCTGCTGCTGCTGATTATAGGTGTTAGCGGCTGTGCTGCTCAACGGCTCCCCGATGCCTTTTCGGGACAGTACCGCGCGCTTATGTGCTGTTCGGCTCGATGTCTGATGTGTCTCTGCACGTGCTGGGGAGCGAAACGTCGGACATCGTGCCGAACGATGCACGAGTGCCAGTCTATGCATGGGTCTCTGTGTCTCTGCACGAGTCTCTGGGTCCTCTGTATGAGGAGTCTGTGGGTCTCTACACGAGGAGTCTGTGTGTCTCTGTGTAGTGGGTCTGTGTGTCTCTGCACGAGGTATCTTTGTGTCCTCTACACGAGGAGGCTGTGGGTCTCTGCACGGGGAGTCTGTGGGTCTCTGTGTGGTGAGTCTGTGGGTCTCTGTGTGGTGAGTCTGTGGGTCTCTGTGTGGTGAGTCTGTGTGTCTCTGCACGAGGTATCTTTGTGTCCTCTACACGAGGAGTCTGTGGGTCTCTGTGTGGTGAGTCTGTGGGTCTCTGTGTGGTGAGTCTGTGGGTCTCTGCACGAGGTATCTCTGTGTCCTCGACACGAGGAGTCTGTGGGTCTCTGCGGGAGGAGTCTGCGGGTCTCTGTGTGGTGAGTCTGGGGGTCTGTGTGGTGAGTCTGTGGGTCTCTGCGGGAGGAGTCTGCGGGTCTCTGTGTGGTGAGTCTGGGGGTCTGTGTGGTGAGTCTGTGGGTCTCTGCGGGAGGAGTCTGCGGGTCTCTGTGTGGTGAGTCTGTGGGTCTCTACAAGAGGAGTCTGTGGGTCTCTGTGTGAGGAGTCTGTGGGTCTCTACACGGGGAGTATTTGGGTCTCTGTGTGGTAAGTCTGTGGGTCTCTACACGGGGAGTCTGTGGGTCTCTGCACGAGGTATCTCTGGGTCCTCTACACGATGAGTCTCTGGGTGCTCTTGGCAAGCCATCCGTGGCCGTGCGAAGACCACCAAGTCGCTGCGCTCGCGAGCCAGGCTCCATCACAGTGCAGCTGACTGCCCGGAGGGGATGGCTTCGATTTTAGACGAGGAGGAACGAGGAAGCTGGAGGTGGTGGAAGAGACGGAGACTGCCCGACCCGCGTTGTGTCACTCCGATCGCCTCGCCGCTACAATGTCGCCTCTTCTCCAGAAGGGGGAGACAAAGGCGGCAAAACCTCGGCTTCGGGAAATCGAGCAGCTGATGCATCACGCACCATCAACTCGTACCTTCACAGCACTGACCCAGACACTAACACTGACCCTAACACTGACACTAACACTCACCCTAACACTGACACTAACACTGACCCTAACACTGACACTAACGCTGACCCTAATACTGACCCTGACACTGACCCTAACACTGACCCTAACACTGGCACTAACACTGACCCTAACACTGGCACTAACACTGACCCTGACACTAACGCTGACCCTAACACTGGCCCGAGCACTAAAACGGTTTCTAAGGTTAACCCCGACCTTAACTTGACAATAACTCTGACCCTGACACTTCACCGATTTCGAACCCCGATGTAGATTCTTGACAGCGCTTCTCCGAGCTCTGTGTTGTATTTGCCTGCCTACCCCCGGCCCCAAAGATAAAGACAAAGATCCCCCGTATAGCCTTAACAGACTGTTGGGGCAAGTGCTGTTAGCGAGTAGCACCTATGATTCCGGAACGGCGCACGAGGGGACGGGTGGTGGCCAGCACCACGCCCGACCGCCTTTGTCTCCCTATTGGCGGATGTGTACACCGCGCCGGGTAGCCATTTGAGGCTGAGTCTACCTAGGGGAGGCCCATGACCGACCGCCAAAGATAATCGTTCACCGAGCGGACACAGGCGGCAGTGGTTCGGGTCCCTTCCCTGCAAAGTAACAACTGGGGGGGGCGGGGGGGGCTTCGTTTCGCCGAGGGACGCCACAAATCACAGCAAGACACCACCTCCTCGTGTAGCCCCGCACGTGCCGTTGTTGGTGGCAATTGCTGCGAGCGGAACACCCCCCCCCCCCCCCTCTTGAAGCAGGCCGGCACGGACGGGTGGTTGGTGGACGACCTGGCGCACCAAGTTCCTCTACTTATTTAAGGCTGAGTCGACCTGGGGGTGGGGGGGGGGGTGCTGATGTTGGCGGTGAGCGGGAATCAGGCTCGGCTCGCCGGGGTTCGGAGTGCAGCGCTAACCCCTGCGTCACCACTCCCCCACCCACGTACGTATAGATACAAAGACAAAGGGCACCCGTGTAGCCTTAACAGAGTGTAGGGGCAAGTGCTGTTAGCGAGTAACACCTATGAGGCCGAGTCGGTTCAGATAATCGCTGTCACTGGTGTCGGCAGCGAGCGTGCAAAGAACTCGGGACGCCTCGCAGCGTGGCGCTAAGCTACCGCTCCCCGCGTATACACTCGACACGCGCAAGCGCACCCACGTCCAAAGTCGACATCTCAGAAGAGTTCTGCCGATGTTTACGCGGCCGATGCCGCGCGTCTCCCCGACGCGCCTTCGGCTCGCAAGCCGCGCGGTTGTCCGACGTTCCGGGGCACGTCGGGGAGGCGACAAACGATGCGCGGACGGCCTTTGACGAGAGCGCGCGGACCGGGAACGCTTACGATTGTGCCGAGTCGGGAGTGGTGACGACGCGGGGGGGTGTAGTCGTTCGGTCTCTGCGCTACTGCTGCCGAGTGGAGATGGTGGCGGTGGTGAGCGGTGAGGTCGACGGCGTCTCTCGCTGTTGCCTGGAGGACTCGACCCACGGGGTTCCTTCCTTGCGCCGAGAGTTTAAAAGCGAAGCGGCGGTGGGGGTTGGGCTCTGTGGTCAGAGCGACGTCACACGCCTCCACAACACCCACAAAGACAAAGATACTCCGTGTAGCCTGTAACAGACTGTGGGGCAAGTGCTGTCAGCGAGCAGCACCGATGGAGGCCGGCACGGCACACGAGGGGGTGGGTTTGTCAGTATCACGCCCGGCCGCCTTTGTCACCCGAGTTTCGATGTTTACACATTGGACCGGGTACTCATTTGAGGCTGAGTAAACCTAAGGGAGGCCCACGACCGGTTCAGATAATCGTTTTTGGTGTTGGCTGTGAGCGGGATTCGAACTCGGGGCGCCGGGTTCGTAGCGCAGCGCGCTAACCGCTACACTACCGCTCCCCACAGCTACGGTAGGGTTGGGCTTTGTGGTCACCCACACACCCCCACCCACACCCCTAACGACACCCCCCACACACACCCACACACACATCCACCCACACCCACCCACCAAACCACCACCACAAAACCTCCTGTCCCTCCCTCCTCATTCCGAGACAAACATTCGCCGGCTCTTACAACAATAACCTTGCTCAACTCAAAGAAACGCCTTCGAATCGTGTCCATCTCACAGCTTTGTATCGTGCTGCTGGTTGCTGGCCTCTTGGCGTTTTAGGGTCGCCCCGTGCTCAGCAAACCGTGATTTAAAGAGAAACATCTGGGATAAAACTTGGACCCATGCAGACACTCACCACCCCCCTCTCTCTCGCGCTCTCTGCCTTACAGCAGAAACATGATACAAACTCAACACATTTGTCAATAACGCTCACCTACATGCAATATACGAGAGGCGACGTTTCGGGCAACGACTCTTCTTCATGGGGACGAGGAGAAGAGCCACTTCTCTTTGCTATGACGAAGGGCCGTCGCCCCAAACGTCGCCTATAAATGACCTTGTCTTTTTGTAAGGCCACAGTGCTATTGGCGAATGGGTTAGAGTTTGTGTGTGCATGTGTGTGTGCTGTGTGCGTGTGTTTTAGTATGCACTTTCGCCGTGTGCCAATGGTTTAATGATGCTGTGAATGTGAAATTCTAGTGGGGGTTGGTAAAGGGTAAAGTTCGCTCGGCACGTGTTTGCTAATATATATGTTCAGCGAAATCCACGACGAGTCCCCGCCACGCAAGCGTGCAGTGGCGTGGCTGTCGTCAGCTCTGGGGAGAGACAAAGGCGGCCGGGTGTGTTTGTGTGTGATAGCCTATTAGCCACCACCGCCAGCCACCATCCTCCTCCTCGTGTAGGGCGACGGCCTTAGTAGGTGCTCACGAACAGCACTTGCCCCAACTGCCTGTGAAGGCTATAGGGGGGACTTTTATCTTTTGTGTGTAAAACGCTACGAACTCGGCGACCGGAGTTCGATTCTAGCTCACGGCCAATATCGGTGAAAATTGTTATCAGCACTTGTCCTTGCCCTAACCTAGGTCGACTCAGCCTCAAACAAGTTCCCGGTGCGGCGTGTCACATGTCGGCATGGGAGAGAAAGAGAGACAAAGGCGGCCGAGTGCTGTGTCGGCCACACACCAACCCCGCGAGTGCTGTACCGGCCATCATAGCAGCCCGCTATCACCACTTGTCCCAACAGTCGATGTAGGCTATACGGGGGATCTTTGCTTTGCCTCTATAATTTGGCATCACGCCTCACTCATGACCCCAGGCGCCACGCTCCCGACAAGAGGCGTCTTGTGCCACAAGACGTCACACCCGGCAAACCCACTTGCTGTACTGCCATCTCCAGGCCACCTCGTAGCTAGGCAGGGTGGTAAGTTTCATAGGTATGTGTGGTGAACTTTTTTAGCACCGTACATAGCCAACCGTGCTAATTAAAGGCGCGTCACTTGAGGCTAAGTCGACCTAGGGGAGGCCCAGGACCGGTTCAGATCATCGTCGCTGGTGTTTGTGGCCGTGAGCGGGAATTTAACTCAGATTTCCGTGTTCGTAGCGCAGCGCTCTAACCGCTGCACCACCGCTCCCCCTCCTCCACACACACACACATTGACGTATCTGCGTGGTCCACCGAAACCTCGCCTCGGAATGCGCCAGGTTTAACAAGCGCCGATCACCAGCGGGCAGTTCTTGCGGGTTATATTCATGAATATGCTTATCAAGTTCCACTCGCGCGTGGGGATGTGGGTTTGTGGTGACTGATTCCGTGCGAACACCGCGCGGCAGCTTGCCTGCGGCGAGAGATGGCACAAAGCAGTCACTCGCCAGCCTGAATCTGAATCTGAGCATCGCTCTTAGGAGAGAGGCCAGCCAGGATATAATCATCACGTCCGTCGTCGTCATCGTACGTAAAATGTGACCCCGAATAATACAAATGTACAGATCCGTATCCACGTGTTTTGCGGGGTCTCCCCTACGCCCTGGTGGTCGTGGGGGTTGTTTGACCATACTTCACCAGGCTGGATCGTGGGGGTTGGTGAAGGAGGGGGCCCAAGTGTATGTGGCTCACCACTGCCGAAAGAGCCACGTTATATGAAGCGGCACACTCTATACACTATTTAAACTATCAACTATTTATTTTTATTTCAGCAGTTAAGGTCCACTGAGTTACGTAGCTGTTTTCCAGAAGCGACCTGCCGATCACAAGTGGTCGCTCAACGAAGTGGTTCATCATCATGTGAAAATGTCCAGCACCAGCGAAATACTCTTATCGCACGTTCATTTTAAATGTGGGGAGAAAATCCGGAGGACCCAGAGAAGAAAATCCACGCGACCACGGGGAGAGAGAGACGCAAACTCCAAATATACAGCAGGCGTGGGGGGCGGGGTCGAACCCATGCGTCTTGTATACGAGGCGAGGTAGTTAACATCTTGTCACCGTGGCTCCCTGTGGAAGTGTGTCTAACTCGATGGAGGTGTCGTGCAAGAGTGGATGAATTTAGCAATGAGTAATTGCATTTCTGCTATTTCAATATAATCCGCTGCTGCTGCAACAGTTGCTGTTGCGAGTTGAGCAGGTGCAGTTTCATCACTCCCTTTTCCCCCCTCCGTTGTTTCCCTCTGCACCCCTTGCAAGGTGCAGATGTCAGATAATGGCGAGTAGTCGGGCAAAGGGGTAGTTAGGGTCGTGAGTCGACGTTCCTTGCCCCTGCGCCAAGCACACAAACACCCACCTGCCTGACCCACGACCACTTCCTTTGACCGTCACTCGTTCAATATTTCCACTGGGTGTCAAAGGTCACAAAGGTCACACCGCTGCTACCGCTGCTACCGCTGCTGCAAGGCACTCAGCGCGGTTAGCGTCGCAAACATTGCCAGGAAACCGATTGCGTCGTTACACTCAACGATCTCCCTGACATCTTCGTGTCGCCTTCTTCCGAGGACTCCGAGGTCAAGGCCCTGTTCATACAGGGCCTGGTGGGGGTGTGGGCAGGGCGCAGCTTCCAAGCTCTCGGAACAAACGGCTTTGCCGTTACTAGTCAGACAAAGAGAGCCCTTAGAGCTATTTAAGCACCGTCTTGTAAACTAAACTCTGTCAACTGGACTTTGCCCCTCCGCCTAATTATGGACCGTGTAACCAGCCAGTTCTGTTTATTTCCTGGCTTCTCAATACATGGCGCGCATTTGGATCTCCGGATTAAATTCTCCACTTTACAAATGTTAATTATGATGATGATGATTTATATGTCAGCTCGTTTATATACACTGACTATTATGCCTGCAAGCGAGCAGCAACAAACAGCACTGTGACATTGGTGCAATAGATCCAGAGTGCACGGCTTCTCGTGAATTGAACGAGGGTCGTTGTTGAGTGAGCTTGGAGGGTGATGTTGGCGATGGTGGTGATGGTGGTGACGGTAGTGATGAGGGTGATGGTGGTGATGATGATAGGAGGAGGGAAATACGCAGTGTAGAGGTGCAATGGAACAAGCAGAGAGAGAAGCGTTGTGACCTGCAGTGTGGTGGTTGAACACAGTGTGGTTGTAGTAGTGGTTGTAGTAGTGGTTGTTGTCGTGGTTGTGATGCCCGGGGCGGTGGCTTAGCGGTTGGCGACCCGGGTTCGATTCCCGCTCACGGCCAACACCAGTGACGATGATCTGAACCGGTCCTGGGCCTCCTCCCCTCGGTCGACTCAGCCTAAAATGAGTACCCAGTGCGGTGTGTAAACATCACCACTAGGGAGACAAAGGCGGTCGGGCGTGGTGCTGGCCACCCACGCCCTCGTGTACCGTTTCGGCCTTCATAGGTGCTCGCTAACAGCACTTGCCCCTACAGTCTGTTAAGGCTATACGGGGGGTCTTGGTCTTTGGTGGTTGAACACAGTGTGGTGGATGAGATGAAACAGTGTGGTGGTAGAGACCGAGTCCTCAACATGGGTGCAGGAGGACTCAAAGGAGTGAGGTTCAAGGTAACTCTCACCGTGGTACTAGCGATAGAGTGAGTGAATGGAGTGATTCAGTGAGTGCGGGGCATTCAATCAACCGAACTTCTTCGCCGTCGACGTGTAATAAACCCAGTCCCGAGTTTGCCTGCTCAAACAAACGCTACTGCTTGACAATATTGGTCTGGAAATCCACACGGGCTGAAATAAATAAGTTTCTAATTTTAATGTGCACACAGAGGTCTGGCGATGTTTGCTTTTGGCTACAGAGAGCATGGCAGAGCAATCGTCGTGTGATTACTGTTAACGCGATGTGCACATAATTAAACCCAAACACAAGTGGCCAAAATGTGTGCGTGTGTGTGTACACGGCATTGTCCCACCTGTGCACACAAAAACAAAGATCCGCTGCAAAGCCTTGGGGCTCTGAGCACCTTTGGAGGCTGGCACGGGACACGAGAGGGTGGGTGAGCAGCACCAGCCGCACCACGCCCGGCCGCCTTTGTCTCCCCAGTGACGAGTCGACCTAGCGGGGGGGGGGGGGGGGGGGTGTTGGCTCCGGGACCGGATCGAACCTCGGCTCGCCGGGTTCTCACCGCGTCACTACCTCTCCCCACATATGAAGACAAAGGTTCCCCGTATAGGCTTCTACAGGCTATTGGGGACA